ATATATATATATATATATATATATATATATATATAACAAGTTAAAGACAAGAAACAAGTTTTACTTTCAAATATTAATACCTCTTTCTACTTGATTTATGCTCTACTAAAAAAATATAATATTTTCTTGATCTTTTTGTAGTATCGGTATTCATTGGTTCAGAGGTCTTTTGTAGCAAATAATTCTATGAATAAGTGGACAAAATTTGAGATGAAGAATTTATTTTTGTAAATTAAAATATTTATAATAGTTAAATATGAAAAATTAAAATTACATAAATTAAAGTACGAGGACTAAAAATATAACAAGTCTTAAATCTTTCATTTAGCTCAACTATCTAAACTAGATTCCCTTAATAGTTGTCTTTTAACTTATACTCTATTTGTTAGAAAAGTTTTCATAATTTTACAATCAAAAAAAGAAACCATTAAATGTTGTAACCACTTTGTTTTTATGTTATTTTAAAGTGGTTTATAGTCTATTTTATAAGATGATATCATCGTGATCTTTTGTTGTTGATAGATATGTGGTTATTATTGTCCAGTTTTATAGGCAAGAATTTTATTTTATTTTAACTGAGTTAAGCAACAATTAAGTTAACTCTTTTTTTATTATATATTTACTTTTTTATATATACAAAACACATAAAAGAGAAGAAACAAGTTTTACTTTCAAATATTAATACCGCTTTCTACTTAATTTATGCTCTACTAAAATAAATACAATATTTTCTTAAACTTTTTGGAGTATTGGTATTCATTGGTATAGAGATTTTTTTGTAGCAAGCGATTTCATGAATAGGTGGACAAAATATGAGATGAAGAATTTACTTTTGTAAATTAAAAGATTTATAATAATTAAGTATGAATAATTAAAATTATAGGAATTAAAATCACATAAATTAAAGTATGAGGACTAAAAATATAACAAGTTTAAAATCTTTCATTTAATTCACTTTCGTATCATGTCGTGTCAATGTGTTGTGGTGCTTTGAGAGCCTAATGTTGAAAATCCTTGAGTAATTTGCTTGTTGAAATAAAGTGTTGAAACTTTTCTAAGTCCTTAGTTGATATAATATGGGGTTAGGTCAAGTCATACTATTTAATTTTGTGACTTATTAAGGTATGAAGTTGAAAGGTAAATTTTTTTATCTAATTATTGGAAGGTTGCATGATATAGAGAGGATAGTTAGTAAGCTAAACCTACATGTGACTTGGTTAATACATGTCAATATCGTGGAAGAATCACACTCTAGCTATATTATACCTAACGGTAGTACTAAACCTTCCTAGTAGGGATGACAAGTAAACTCATACCCTTGGGTAATGCCCGAATCTGTCCTGACTTTGACAACAAATATCCAATTTGACCGAGCGTAGGTACAGGTACAAGTAATACCCAATTCATTAAATCGGGTATGAGGACGAGGATGGGTATATACATACCCGTCTTGTACTCGTACATGAATCTATACTTGCTTAAAATTTATAAATATTTAATTATTTTTTTTAGAATTTACTTAAAATTTATGTAATTTCTTGCTCTATTTTTAATTTATGTCCAACAAAGTTTAATTAATATAATTTTGTAATTATTATTTTATGTTCAAATTCTAATTTTTTTAATATTTTTGTGCAAAAAAAATAATATCTAATTAATTTTTGAACGGTTATGGAACGAATATAGGGGTGGGAACACAAATTTCATACACATTGGATATAGGGACAAGGATGAGTATAGAGCTGTCAAAACGGGCTACCCGGCCCGACTCGGCCTGGCCCACCACGGGTTGGCCATTTGGTGGGCCAACCCAACCCGGCTCATTTATCTGTGAGCTCAAAAAAATCGAGCCCGGCCCGGCCCACCACGGGTTGGTGGGTTAAACGGGTTGGCTCACCTTTAAAAAAAATAATTTTTTTCATTTTTTTTAATATACAACTAAAGCCCAAAAATTTAAACTTATTTTAAAAATCTGAGATTCTTAATTAAGACATCCTTAAATGAATTATTCATCCCAAACATTAAATGATAATTTTAAATACAATCAAATCAAATCTAAATAATCTCAAATAGATAAATATAATCCAAAATTATCTTAAACTTCAAATACAATCCAAAATCACAAAAATTACAAATCACAATCCAACATTAAATTATTATTGTCTCATGTTGGACTGCTCCATGACCCAATAATTATTGTATTTTTTCAAAAAAAAAATTAATCACGGGTTGGTGGGCCAGCCCGGCTCACCACGGGTTCAACCCGGGTGAGCCGGGTTGGTGGTGAGCCGGGTTCAAATTTGACCCGTATTAAAATTTTCAAATTTTTTTTAACCCAACCCGGCTCGAACCTGTGGTGAGCCGGTTGGCTCGCCGGGCCAAGCCCATTTTGACAACTCTAGATGAGTATAAGGTACAAGAATGGGGACGGAGACATGTATAGAGAAACTCGTACTTGCTTCGCCCCGTTGTCATCTCTTCATCCTAGTTTAAGTGATGATATCCAAGTAATCATTTTTATGTTGATATTGGATTGGTATCCAAAACTATATTGCATGACCAATATACTATGGTTTTCTCTATGATGTTGATTTAGTAGGGTCAAATCTCTTACACTATTCACTTGTATTGTAAGAGATCTCTTAGTTAAAATGTGTGATGATGCATTAAGTTTGTGTCGTAAAGTTTTTAAAGTTGTATATATCATTGAATGTTGAGTTGTAAAGTTGTTGAATTATATGTGTTGTGAAGTTAATTTGATAAGTTGTTTATTAAGATGTTACATTTTTTAGTTGTAAATTTTGTTATAAAGTTGTTATGTTGTTGAGTTGTATATTGTGTTTTAAAGTTGATAAGTCGTTCTAAGAAGTAACCGTGCTTAATTACATTAATGTTGTGAAGATGCTTATATAGATAGTTGATTGCTTCTATAATATATGTTGTTTTCTTTGAATACAAGCTTACCTTGATTTTTCCATGTTTTGGAATACAATGATCATCTTATTATGGGAGCAAGGTAGGATTAGGTTGGAGGGTGAGCAAGATGTTGTGTCATGTAGGAGATGGCGTGTTTTGGTGGTGCCTATCTTGATAGAATTAGTAGTTGTTTGGTCGACAACTTAGGACTCTTGTATTTTGTAGTGTGAGGTATGCAAAGAAAGTTGAGTTCTTGAGGTTATATCAAGGGAACATGTTTATGCAAGAGTATGCCATAAAGTTTGACCAGTTGGTAGTTGAAGATCCATGAAAGTGGTAGCTTATATTTCAAGGTAATTGAAGATCCATGAAAGGAATTATCCTACTCATGATCTAGAGTTGGCATCTGTGGTGTTTGCTTTGAAGATCTAGAGGCGTTATCTTTATGAAGTAATGTTTAATGTTTTAAATGATTACAAGATTTTAAGGTGTCTATTTGATAAAAAAAAAGTTGAATATGAAACAAAGAAGGTGGATATAATTTCTTAAGGATTATGATTTCCAGTTGATGTTCCATCCTAGTAAAGCTAATGTGATGGTAAACACTTTGAGTAGGAAATTCATTCACATGTCATCTATAATGGTAAAGGAGTTGGAGCTAGTAGAAAAATTTATATATTTAAATCTCTGGGTCGTTGTTGTTGTAGATAACATTAGTTGTGGATTCACTAAATGGGTTCTTGGAACAAGTGAAGGATAAGAAAATGAATGATTTGGGTTTGTTGAAGACTAAAGAGTTGTTAGGTTTAGATAAGGCAGGGGTTCTTTTATTGGTGTAGATGAATATAAACCTCCCTACACTTGAACTTTGTTTTCCCTCAAGAAAAAAAGAAAGATAAATTATCATTGATCAAGGTATTAGGTTCTTTCCAAGAATCAAGAAATTATTGTGTTAATTTTCAAATCCACAATTCATCAACATAGTCTAAGGGTTGTTAAAACATCATAACCATTTTATAGGTTCCCTAGGGTAAAGATTTGTTGAGTCCATTTATTGAGCATTAGGTTATAGAGTTGGTTCAATTTTATTTTCTATGTTTTTCCTTAGGTTCTTTGTTAAGAAGACATGTCAACCATGCATGTGTCTTCCACTCAAATGCTTTGCACTTGCCATACAAAATCTCAAAGAAGTGTTATTTAGGAGCTTTGGTGACTAAGCATTTCCTAAGTAGCTTTTTCTAAGGATACTAAAATTTATTCTAATAACCTATAACCTCAAATGAGTGCTTAACCAAAATTTTCTAATTTTTATTTTTAAATTTTTTATATTTTTATGCTCCTTAAAATTGACAATTCTTCAATAACTAGGTGTAGTGAGTGTCATTAAGAGAACCTAATTTTAACATATA